CCACCCCCCGATGGCTCTCAGGAGAGGCCCGGACGCCCCCGGAGACAGGGGCTCCCAGCCCGGGAGGGGGTCCTCACCAGCCTCGTGACGTTGGCCGCTCTGAGCACCCCCTCGTAAGGCATGCTGACCCTGTAGCCGATGGGGAAGTACTGTTTCTGGGGAGGTAAACAAAAACCATGTGATCAGAGTCAGGGATGCTCGGACAGGTGCTCCCGAACTTCCCCCCACCCCCACCCCCACCCTCACCCCAACACTTGGCTGTAGGGGGAGGCCGCCTGTGATGGCAGAGGTGCCTCTGGGAGAACGCACTTGGCTCCCGTCAGGGTGGGACAAGGGAGGGATGAATGAGACAAAACACACAGATGCTGTTAGGGCAGGAATTTCAGCCAGGGAACAGTAGGAGGGACCCCCCCCTCACCCCGAGAGAAGCAGATTCCTCAGGGGAGGGGAAGACCAACGGGCACTCAGAAACCTGTGATGGCAGCCCAGCTGGGCGTGTACAGAACCAGTGATGGCGAACCTGACACTCGTGTCAGAGGTGACACGCGAACTCATCTTTTTGATGGATTTTTCTTGGTTAAATGGCATTTCAATATATAAAACAAACATCAAAAATATAAGCCTTTGTTTTACTACGGTTGCAAATATCAAAAAATTTCTATATGTGACACGGCACCAGAGTTAAGTTAGGGTTTTTCAAAATGCAGACACGCCGAGCTCAAAAGGTTCGCCATCACTGTACTAAACTCACGAGTGTGCGTGTAAAGCAGTGAACTGTGTGGTGTGTGAATCCGATCTCAGTAAAACTGTTTTAAAAAGGAACATGCCACGGGGGCTTCCCCACCCTGTGAAAAGAGCCTTCCTCCGACGTCTAGGTCCCTATCTCCCCGCTGAGAATAAGAGGTGTCTGAGGTCCCCCGAGGCTTCCTGGAGTCCATTCCTGAATCCCAGGGTGAGTGCCACATGGAGACCGGACCCAAGTCAGACCTAGTGGGAGCGGGGAGGCCCCCGGGACG